GTCGTATTTGTTGTATTAGAGAAACGGAATGGATCGCATGTGGGCCCAAAACCGTACCGAATCTCGCGTGCAGGGCATGAAGAGAGGGAGAGCCAAGCACCAGTCGAAGCATAAGCCTGGCCCTGGCCAAGAAGAAACAGAAAGACCAGCGAGAGAGAGACGAAAAGCCAAACAACACGACAAGACACTTTGGGGGTAATATCTATAAAAATTGTTGTTGGTCTGGTCGGATCGGATCGGATCCGTTGCCTCTTTTTCTTTCTCATTTGTTCTCTCTCTCTCTCTGTCGCTCTCTGTGAGTTCTCTCTTTCGTTTTGCTTGAGGTTGTCAGCCTTTTTGGACCCGTCCCAGGCCCAAGATGTGTGTGTTCCTCCTCCTCCTCCTCCTTCTACATCTTCTTCTTTTTCTGCTACTCCTTCTTTGTCTGCTTTTTTGCTTCTCCTTCTTCTGATTCAATGCTCAAGAATAAGACACACAAAGCAAAGACCAAGAAACAAACCCAAGAAGAAGGTTGAAACCAGGAGGTGGAGGAGGCAAAACCAAAAGGAAAAGAACAAGAAGAGAAAAGAAAGAAAGACAACAAAAAAAAAAAACTTGTTCGGTCAGTGCGTCGTCTCTCTTCCAAGTCTCTTCAGTATCTTGTATCTTGTCTTTGTATGTATCTTGTGGCTGTGGCTGTGTCTTGTGTATGTGCAGCTCTGTGTGTGTGTGTGTGTGTGTGTGTGCTGCGCCCTGGCCATCAAGAAAACTCATTAAACTGGCCAGAACAGAACCCAAAGCCCCATAGTTCCATCTCCTATAGAGTCGGAGCAGCAAGAGATCCATCATTAAAACACCCAAAAAGATGAGATTTAGATCCCCCCACCACCCCATTGCCCATTGCATCCATAGATCGATCCAACTTTGATGACTGTTTTCATAATTAGTTGGCAGCACAACAACAACAACAACAAAAGCCTCCTCAATCTTGGCTAACCATTTGAGGCAAGAGGCATTTTTCCCAAGACAAAAAAAAAAAAACTTGGAAAGTTGTCAAAGAGGAGACGAGACGACGCACGCGGCCAGAGATCTATCTCTGTATCTGTATCTGTATGGGCTGTAATGCTGGGAAACAAAATAAAAAAAAATACAAAAATTTGCAATGGACAAGATGTCATGTTTATGCAATGCACGGACTTCTCTCTCTCTCTCCCCCCCTATCTCTATCTCTGTTTCTGTCTCTGGGAAAATACATATATCAGAATGATCTAGCCATATAAAATCTTTTAGATACTGAATGCCAACAGTAGCGACGGATATCTGCTTGGATCCTCTTCTGTCAACTTTTTTGTGTGGATTTCCGGAGAGACTTGCCAAAAAAAAAAATAAGACAAAATAAAACAAAACAAAAAACAGGGCAAGGCGAAATTCTACCTGATCCACAAAACACTGGGGCAAGACTCTGGGGGGACTCGGGGGCAGGCGTCTGGCATGCTCAAACGGAACTGCCACTGCCACAAGCAGGGGACGGGGACTATCAAGTGACCAACAACAAAATTCTCCTGCTGCTGCTGCTGCTGCTGCTGCTCCACCTTTTTCTCTGATTTTTTCTTTTCTTTTTGTGTTTGTCGTCTTTATCAATTTACAGGTTTTGCAACTTGCAACAGTTTGCGGCAAGGGTAACAGCAGATTTAACACTTGAGAAATTAGCATCGCATTTAAGTGAATTTTTTTTTTGTCGTTTCTTATTTTTTTATTTTTTTGGTAATTTTTTAATTAAGTCTTCTCGGGTTACCGATGAGAAAGTTACGACGAAGACGACGACGACGACGGCTGGGATCGATTAATTATGAAAATGTGACAGTAAATGGTCGATAAGTGGATGTCTCAAATTAATTGAGACGCCGCCAAGGAAGGATGACTCCACTCCTTCCATTTTTATTTTGTGATATTTATTTTTTGGAGACACTTTCACATTGCAGCAAACAGAGGGAAGGAAGCTAGAGGAAGTGTCAAAAGATGATATTCAAAAATGAAAAATGACCCAAAATATCTGCTTCATTCAACTTTAGTCTGCGTTGTAAACTGATGCCAATCTCTAAAGCATCCCATCCCAGATGTCCCAGTGCCGAGTTCAATGGAGGCAACTGCTTTCATATTTGCTGATATTCGAATCCTATCATATATGTATGTATATATACTCCATTTTCCCGCCACATTCTCGCCCATACTTTCAGTTTATTTTCATTAAGTTTCTATTTACTGCTCGGGACGATGATCCACTCCGATTACCGATCATAAAATGCACATTTTACGATCTGCCAATCACACAGATACTAGATATAGCTGGAGGGGTGTGTGTGGTGTGTGTGTGTGTGTGTGTGTGTGTGTGTGTGTAGGATACACATAAATGTTGTACAGAAAGACATTTATTTAGTTATTCCTTGGAGTGGAGTGGAGTTGAGTGCAGGGTATATAGAGGCAAGGCATAAGGCATAGGCAAGGGCTAATTAAGGAGGAAGGTTTCATTCTGTGTGCGTGACTTACAAAAGTCAAGAACCATTTTAGGGTGTTCTACCAGGCAGGCGGCGGGCAGGCAGGATACAGGAAATAGCTAAAAGAACCCAACACGAAGAGCGGGAGAGACGAGACACAGAGAGCAGCATGTCGAACGAAATTGAAAAGAAAACAGGCAAAAAGATACAAAGGTATCTGGAGAATAGAGAACGACAGAGAGGGACAGAGAGAGAGAGCGAGAGAGATCGAGAACTTGTTTGCGGTTCGTGGCTCTAGGTAGGAGCCCATCCATCTGGTTCTTGCATTCCCCCTCTCTACATCGCTCTGTCGGTTTCTCTCTCTCTCTCTCTCTCTCTTTCTGGCTTATCGTAATTCGATCTTTGAGCAAACAGCAAATAGGACGCGCCTGTGCAATATGCCAGGAACCCCAGCGAGAACCAAGTACCAGGCAGGGGTTGCTCTCCCTTCTCTCCTGTCTCCTGCTGCTGCTGGCTGCTTCCATTTTTGGCTCCAGGAGCACAGCACAGCTGTCGTTTTCTGTTCTCTGATGAAATCGAATGCGGTGGTTGGTTCTTTGGTTCCCTGCCCTCATAAAACCGTTACTTATCTCAAACCTGCAAAAAAAAAAAATAATGCACTCAAAGGCAAAAAAAAAAAACAGAAAACAAAACACAACAACAACAACCGTTTTCCAATCTTTAAAGTTGAATAAACTTGGGGGAGATTGGATGAGAGGAGCTTATGGTGGTAGCTAAAATCTGGACAAATTTGCTCCATTGATCATCACTGATCCCTGATGATGCTGAATGATTCCAATGCTTCCCTTTTACTTCCCTTCTGTTTTTTTTTTTAAAGTCTGTAAATGCAAATTCAAATGCTTTTTTGTCACCCATCCCATAACGTAAAGAAACGTAAAGCAAAAAGTGTTTGGAAGACGGAAAACCCAAGCTGAAACCCAGGTTCATGCCCAGGAAATGATGCCCCAGGTACACGTAAAAGCTATGGACCACCCCAACACCATATGATTCAAATGGTTCAATGATCTGCCACCGACAAAAGGTACATTTAGGCTTCCCCGATGGTTCATAGTTTTTTTTTTTTTTTTTTTTGGAAATGAGTATTTAATTGCTGGGATAGAGACCGCAGCATGATTGATGATGCAATCTAACCGATCTACAGAGTGGCCCAGCAAGCATTAAACACTCAAGAAAAGAAATGGTAGGATTATGTGCAAGGATTTTTTTAATGATTTAGTACATAATTTGGGTGGCATTTTATTTGTACAGAGAATAAAAAAAAATTAATTTAAATTTTTTGCTCAAGAATTCATTATGTCATCACCAGGCTAGAGTCTTTAGATTTAATGGAAATATTTTGGAATTGCTTATCAAAATCGTTCAATTATTTTATATATTTATTTTGTGTCATGGTGCTGGTACATTTTTAAGCACACAAACCAAAGAAAATTCCACTTAAAAATTGTTAATTCCTGGAAAGTTGACATTTACTGAGCGGCGATCGGGCCCAAAGTACACCTACACAGAGACACACTTATGTACATACACATATATGTAGTACATATTGTGTTTACATAATGATTAGACAAGAGAGCCCAAAGCCAAGCCCTGTTTATGGAGTGTTTCCATATGCAAATATGTAGGTCTGGCTCTTCTTTTATAGCGAATGGAAATGGAAGTGTTTGATGGACAAATACAAGTACGTACATAGTTCATGTAGTTCTCCTTTTTCTTCTTCAAAGGGGTGGGGTGATGGGGATGGGGATGGGGAGGTTGAGGAAGTTTTCTACTCTAAATAAATACCAACAAAACAATAAAAGCAGAAACAAATACATACTCGACAAATAATGCTTTGCCGACGGCATAAATGATCTGTAAAGGTGCGCATAGCACATACGAAATCGGAGAGAGAGGGAGCATGCGCTAGAGAGCCGCACCGAACAGATCATGCGCAGCCAGCAGAGGGTGAGAAAGAGAGAGAGAGAGAGAGAGAGAGAGGGAGCTGGCTGGCAGGCAAGCAGGCATGGGTTGCAGCTCAGAGAGCAAGCAATAGCAGCAATGAGAGCGGGAGAGCGTGAGCGAGCGAGAGCCTGCAGCAACGAACGAACGAGCGACCGACCGACCACCTGTCCGAAGACAGACAAAGCGAAAAGCGAACAAGCCAGGAAAAGGGAACCCCGAAGAACATAAAAGCGAAAAGGAAACACGAAAAAAGCATACACGAATGTGGAAAAGAAGAGCTGGTAGAAGCAGCCAGCACAAAGGAAGGGGAAATAGGAGGAATGCGCGAAACATTAGGAATTTTTTACTTGAAAGGATTTCCGAAATAAAAGGAATATTTTTTAATTTCTCCGCTTAAAAATAGACCCCAACTAGCAGAAATTACCCACGGATGTACATATAACCGTTTCCTAACCGTTTTGCCCGTTTGGCGATCGATCCCCTCTTTTTCGTCCACTTCTTTTCCATCTTTCGCACCCCACTTACCCGTTCCTTGGACGCTGCTCGGTAAATTTGCAAACGCCAGCATCAGCGTCAGCGTCAGCAGCGGCAGAGCGAACATTTTGTTAATCCAAGTGAATGCGCGACTGCGCTGTCTGCTGCGCTGCAAATGCATTGTAATCCAGTTTTCCAGTATTAGTATTCCTTTCCAGTTGCTGTTGCTGTTTTCTTTGCCCAATTCTTTTTGTGTATGTGTGTGTGTTTTCTGTGTGTTTTGTTTCAGTTCGCTTTTGTTGCTTATGTTGTTGCACTGTATTTATTGTTGTTTCTCTTTCAAATCTCGTTAGTTAATGTTGCACCTTTTCCCCCTCTCCTTCTCCTTCACCTCTTTCTATGTATTTAAGAGCCAGGCGGGCAGAACATTTGAAAAGAGTCGCGCTCCCGACAACGCCGACGCTTGCAGAGACGTCAACGACGACAACAGCGACGGCGACATTTCCACGCAACCAAAAAAAAATTAACAAAAAAAAACCAACAATAATAGTGGCAAATATTTTTGCAGCTGGAACAGGAGGGAAACGATATTCAAATTCTTCAACGGACACGAGACGCTCCTTTTCCGCGCTCTCTCCCGACGATTACACGCACGCACACACACACTGAGAGAGACGCACCGATACACCGATACACGCACACACTCGCGAATTATTTGCTGTTTTTCCTTTGGGTTTTCCTTTCGGCTTTTTTGCTTGTGGTTTGATATTATTTTTTTGGAAGGAAAAACAGTATGGGCTATAGCCTGATCGGGCCTGCCATATTGTTGTTATTGCTGCTTTTGGGACACTACTCTCCACTCGGCTTGTGTTTGTTGTTGTCGTTTATTTTGCACTCCTTCTTTTGAAACAAACATGCACTATCTCTCCTTCTTTCTCGTTTGCTGTCACCCAAAAAAATTTTAACTGCAGACAATATCAATTTGTGCTTTGTCCGCCTCGACAACCCGTCTCGTTCAAATATAAAACGCCTCGATCTCGTTCAAATTCGTGAGCAGTGTGACCGCGGCTTATCGATCAAATATACCCGCCTGACCCTTGAGAAATATACCGAAAGATCAAAATCATTTTCAAAATATACCGCAAATATACCGAGGAACAAATTAACTTAACCCCAGCTGTCACCCTCTAAACAGGCGAACACCTTAAGTTAAGCCGCGCAAGATTCCTGAAGTACAAACTAAATACCCCGTTTAATGTAACTAGCTAGCTAGGACCCTCAGCACTCAATATATAATTTTATCCGATAGATACATAAATTTTCTACAAGATTGGCAAGTTTTCAGAACTCTTTTTCATTGGATTGTTTACAAAATAAGGTTCGAACAAAAACGGCCAAAGCATAAAACGTATGTGTTGACTAAATGTAACGTCATTGTTGCTGGTCAACCAAGTTTCTTCTATGCGTATGTACTTTTGTATACCTTATTTCTTTTAATTGATGTTAAATGTTTTGTTCCAAGCTCCATTGAAACATTATTTATGATTTTATCCTAGATTGACATGCTTTTTACCTATTAATGCACATGTTTGTGTTTTATATATACATTTATCCCGGTTCTGATACCTATTATTGGTACCCATGAGCTACAAAATTTCGTTGACGTCTTTTAATAAGAGACTGAGTAGTTTCTGCATTACTTGGAGCCTGAAATTACAAACAATATCTCAAGTCCATAATATCCATTTTCCCAAGGTATGCAGATTGTTGCTCATTCCGTGCTAAAGTTGCACAACAATGCTGACTCTTCATTTCCCCATGCTGCTGAAATTTTTCCCATACAAATCAAATGTATCTTACGGGAACGCGTATGGAATGAAGATTCATTGTTGCGTCATTCCATGTTTCAAGATACATGTTTCTCACACCACGAAAAGTCACCACGAAAACGCTCTCTTCACCTCAAAAAAGAGAGCAAATTTTGAAAAACTACCATGAATTGAGAGCGAAAAATGTCAGTATTTTTGGTGCGCTAAATTGAGTTTGGCGGTCATTTTCAAAAGTATATTAATGTATGGAAAAATAAATATATCACTTGATTTGTTTTGTCGAGTATGACTGGAACCTCAGAAAAGGCATTTTCAAAATATACCGTAAATATACCAAGGAACAACGTAACTTAACCCCAGCTGTCTCGCTCTCCCTCCTGCAACCAGAAATTAATTGTTTTTTTCTTCTCTTCTTTCTGGTCTCTCTCTCGTTGCTCGGTTCGTTCGCCCTGTGGTTGCGTGGTATTGAGTATTTTTATGTTTTGGTATTTTTAAGATGTACAGTTGCGGCAGAAATAATAGCACTGTTTGGTACCACAGTCTTTATTGTTTCAAAGCCTGATCTCTAACCAACATATTTTGCCCTTGACAATAATATCAATTAGGTTTACATGTCTCCTCTCTGATAGAAGTGTGCTTGCTCTCAAATTCCTAACGGTTCTTATTACTTAAGACAATTTTCCAAAAAAGAAGCACTAAAATTGGTTTTTTATAAAAACTTTTACTTTTCCGAGCTTTTAGATATTTTATGATTTTAATTAAACTAAAATTCGTTGTCTTAAGTAGATTGTGGCAAGAACTTTGGGCCTTAGAAAGCACTTTAGGTTAGAAAAAAGCAAGAGGATCAAAACTTTTATTCCAGAAGGAGACACCTATCTTTAGGTGAATCCAATTGTTGGTTGATCATTGAGCATTGATTCGCAATGCTTTAAAACATGCAACCAACAAAAAACCCACGGAATACGCGATACCGCCATTTCCGGTCAAACTACTGCTTGATGAGAGCAAGAAGGACCCTTATAAATCGTCCACTGAGCTAAAAAAGGATCTTGAAAAATCGCCAAAGATGAGCAAAGTTAGTTCTTGCATACAAGAACATAAATTAAGTGCCAAAAATCCGAGGAAAAATCCACTTTAGAAAGAAAGCCATGGGGCAAAGTGAGTGCTTCTGGCACTGGAGTTGTCCCAAAGAAACATCATGTGTTCCGAAGAAAGTCAAATTGTTTTTTTTTTTGTGGAAAAGGCTATATAACCTTAAGTGATATGACGACACTTAATGCCAAATAAAACCCCCTGACTAATATATAAAACCATTAAACACTCAGGGATAGGCATCATCCCCCCTCCATGGGCACATTCTTTTTTCGTCGCATTATTGAGGTGGTCCAATACATGGCTACAAACTAGATAGATGGATAAACATGTATATATTAAAATCAAATTAGAAAACAATGTATGCTGCCTATATATGGAATAGGACAATGCCGTTGTTTAGTGTCTGCCATCAGGACAATGATCCCAAACAGACCAGCAAGAAAGCTCAAAGGTAGGTTCAGAGATGCAGTGTATTTAATGTAATGCATTGGCCTGCTTAGTCGCCAGATATGAACACCATGAAAAATCTTTGTGCTAAGGCTAAAAAATATGTTTCTAATACGAAACCAAGGAACAATATTGATCTTTGGGGTATCAGGCATTATTGGTGGAGCCATATCTCCCAGGAAAGATGCGAAAATGAGGTGAACTTTCATGACAAGACGCTGAGACACTGTGGTTGCTTCCAAAGGCTTTACAACAAAATATTAACCTTTGAATACAACTAAAGTAACCTACTTTAATGAAAATTTGGAAAGCTTCTTTTAAATTTGTTTTTTTTTTTAATTTTTGGAACTCAGTGCTATTTTTGTTGCCGCCTAAATTCCTGAATAATTCCTTTTCTTTTTGATAATTTTCGTTTGAAGTCTGCAATACAAACTATTGCTTTCGGAAACATTAGATTACATCCTAAAGTATATATATTAGTTCTTAAACCGTTCATTAATACCACTGTTTAAACAAAATCCTTCAATACAGAAAATTGAGTGTCATGGTGCTATTATTTATGCCACAGCTGTACTTAACTAGCCTTTGCTAGTATTATTCTCCTATTTTATTTTAAATGTTATTTGATATTACATATTAAACCAAATTAAGTTAATTGTTATTATTATTGTTTTGGCGAAAAGTGAGCCCATCTAGATGGAGTACGAGGTAGATTCATACTCTTGTATGCGACGATTGAGATTCTTGAGGGTCTCCCTCAGCTTGAGGACGCTGGCTCGCTTCACCTGCAGCCCATCCACGGTGTTGTCGTATTCGTACATCAGTGAGGGCATCGACAGGATGCCGCCCTGATACGACAGATCCTGCTGCTGTTTTCGGATATTTGTGCGGTCCATCTTCACTCTATACAGAGTCTCTCTTTTGCCGTGCTGCTTGCGCAGCAGCCCCTTGAGGGTGGCCTTACAGTGCTGCAGCTTGTCGGCGAGCGCCAGCGCCTTCTCCCGGTTGTGCTGTATCAAGTGCAGGTCCACATGGTACTTGGAACGCAGCTTCTTCAGTTCGATATTCCGTTCTGGGAACGATGGAGCGATTAGAAACGAATTTCGCTGTAAAAGCTGATGGTATGGGTATTGTATTACCTTCGATCTTCTTGTCCAGGGTGACCACCTGATTCTGTATGGCTATGAAGTCGTTTATGTTCAGATCATCGCCCACACGTTCCAGCTGATTGATTTTCTAGACAAACGAAAACAAGCAAAACGATGAGATCTGCTGGACAGGAGGGCGCAGTGCAGCGCAGTGCAGCGACTTACCTCGGTTACACGACCCAAAGTGTGCTTCATGGTAATGAGAAAGAGACGCGTGTCGCTGATCTCGTTGCGCTTGACGGCCATAAGTCTGAGCTCGCGATCGGCCAGCCGCTTCAGATAGTCCGAATCCTGCAGGGACAGATACTGGCGTACGGTCTGATCCAGATGCGTTTCAGAGCGCGTGGCGCTATTCTGAGTGTAGTACAGTTCCATGAGCACTTTGTTGATTAGAAAGCTGCTCTTCTGCTTGGCGGCAGTGAAGCGACCCTTAATGCAATCGAGCTGCTTCAGGGACTCCATGTAGCGCATGCTGTAGTTCCTGTCGACATCCCGTTCCAGCCGGGCAAACACACGCATGTTCTTGTTCCGCTTGTAGTACTCGGCGACGCGACCCTGCAGAAAGGTGTTGTCCAGCTTCTCGAAGTAGAAGTTGTTCGTGACGGTGATGAGCTCCTCCATTAGCTTGCCCTTGTCGCAACGCGCTCTGAAAATGTGCTCCACATTGATGGACTCGGCTTTGCTGACCAGCGCAGCGATGAGCTCCTTGAGAAAGTCTTGGGTAATTATCATTAGCTCGGTTCGATGCTTACGGCCCTCTAATTCGCTAACGCGCAAGGGTATGCCCAGATCCTTGGACTCGAAGGTCTGCCGGAACTGATCAAAGTCGTCCATAGACTGCTCGCCGGGATGCACTGGCGCTGCGGGCAGGTCATCGTCAAAAATCTCGGGACATTCGTCTGATTCCTCTTCCGCCGCTTGCTCCTCCTCCACCTCCACGTGGGGCTCTTCCGTTGAGGATGAGCTTGAGGTGCTCAGCACCTCGCCAGTTAGCGGATCAACAAAGACGCCCACATCCGCCTCGTCAATGTGGTGGATGGAGTCCGCTTTGATAATAAATTCCAGTGGCTCCGACTCCTCAGAGGAGAAGTCCGACAGACTGGGCATATCGAATTCGTTGAGAAAATCCTCCTTGAGTTGAACGGTGTCCGAAGCCTTGTCGATGGCCCTCATATAGATGATGGACGACATTTCCACATCAATGGAGTCCTCGTCCTCGTCATGCTCCGCATCACGAGCCACCGCCTCCTCGTATTCATCCTCCAGCAGCATCGTGTGGCGAACGCGCAATTTCTCCTCTCGCTTTCGCTCCACCCGGAACTCGGCGTCCTCATCGTCTTCGTCGCGGAGTCGTCCTTCGCTCAGGGCGACAGTGTCAAAGGATACCCTCGAATCGCTCGGCTTGAAACGCCTTGCTTCCATTTCTCGAATTCGCAGCTTTCGTTCCGCTTTTTTGGTCTGCTTCAGATCATCGGCCGAGGCAAACAATGTCCCCTGCGTCTCTTCTCCGTCCCGTACAGAGCCTATTCCGGCCATGGATTCCGCATCCGTGCCCACCGATACCCCATCGAAAACTACATTGTGTTCGTCTGCTACTGCCGTTCCCGGTGGCAGAATGGATGTCAACTTACTTGCTTTCTTGGGCTCTACCTGACTCTGTAGCTCTGGCTCCGGCTCTGGCTCGGGCTCTGGCTCTGGCTCGGGTTCTGGCTCTGACCCTTGCTCAGTGGTCTGCTGAGTTGGAGGATGCTGCTGCTCGTCTGTGATCTCTGTGATGTCAGTATCTGCGTTGGTTGCGGATTCTGGATCCATTTTAGTGTGCGTTTTTAATCGTTGTGCAATATATATGTTTTTAGTGTTGGCTATAAGTTGTGTACCCTAGCACTACTCACTCGTATATGAATGAAATACTCGTATGACTGTGACAACAAAAACGGAGATTACCCATCAACATGGCAAAGAAAAAACTCAGCACCTTATACATATTTCCCCTCAGTGATACGAGCAATGCCTTTTTTCCATCGCCATGATACTTCCTTCTATAAACTGTACGATCTCTCACAGAATATTTGCTAAAAGTTCTATATTCCGGCATATGTCTGCTCGAAACAAAAAATCAAAAACAAAAAAAAAACTGATGATTGAACGCGATTTATCAAGAATTTACGTGCAGAAACTATTTGTCGATCGAACTTGGTTCTTTTTTTATTGAATTTAAAAGTCTCCTGTTTTGCACATTCAAAATGTAAACGTAATCCAAGCATGCTTTTGAATAAAGCATAGAGACCCGTTTATCGAACATTTACCGAATTTTTTCTCAGTGTAATATGAAATGGGGTTGACTTACCAAATAATTCGTACGTTTGGCACGCTTTGGACAATTTTAATTAATGTCACATATGAAAAATAAACGTGCCTAAAATATAAAAAATTGCACTGATTTTAAGAGTTCATGAAATTATATTTTTCAATAAATTTAGAAAATATCCGCATCCTAAGCCCCAAAATAACCAAATGAAAGATATATATTTTTTGGTAGCATTTTGAATTATTTTATTTTGTTTTTTTTTTTATGTATTTTCATTTCAACTAGTTTGAGTTATTTTTTGACTTAAGATTAAATTGAATTATCGTTTTTTTCTGCTTGCATGCTTTTCCTTTATACGCACTTCGTTCTTAGTTATCGTTTTCTTTCCGGTTTGCATTTCACATTTTTCATTTTCCATTTCCTCTTCGTAATTATTACAATATAATGTACTTGGCTTAATAGGATTTTGTTTTCTTGGTTTTATTCATGTATTTCATTAAACTGCTATTTAATTGAACGCTTAATTGAATCGTTTGACAATTTATCCAAAAATTTTTAATTTTATTTCTGCGTCTGTGTTTTTTTGAGTTTTCTGTTGTCAGTTTTCAGTTGAATTTTGTATTGAAAAAGCTCTGCGCATAGCTCTCAAGTAAAGAATAGAATATAATATAATAGATTCGAGTGAATAAATTAAGATTCAATAAATAAAAAACATTTAAAGCATTTTCTGTATTACTCTATATAAATATGTATGCATGTATGTATCTCCTTAATTGTGTATATGTTAAAAAAAAAAATAATTACAGTATTGGCTTAATGTTTTAAGAACCCAACAAGGAATCATAAGGCAGCATTTCGTGTTTAAAAGTTTCGCTTCACATTCACTTATCGATTTTCGATTTTATTATTATTATTCTTCATTTTTTTTTTTGGTAGATCGCTCAAATGTTTTACAAATTGTGTCTAAGCTTTTTAAATGTTACTTTTAAAATTGTTTGCATATATATTTAGTTTTATAAGTAGGCTTACTCCGCTATGCTGACAAAAAAAAAAAAAAAAAAAAAAATACGTTATGTACTTCTGCTCCTCTCGCTAATCTTAGTTACTAATTTTATTTAAGCGTTGACATACACATTTATGCTCAATATTCGATATACATATATATTTCGTTTTTTTGTTTTTGTTTTTGTATACATAATTGATTTAATGTTAAATTTCATTTACTTTCTTATGGGCTAGACAAAAAAAAGTTTTCTAAGTTTTCACATTGATGCTGGCGCTGTGTATCCGTTAACCCCGGTCAAGTCTGGAGTATGTTTTCATATATGTATGTATATATAATTAATGTGGAGACAATGAACTGGGGGAGAGGAGTGCAGCAAAAACTGACTACCGCAAATCGATTAAACACTGGACTATATAATCACTCATTACTTTCAGTACAGTACTTGGGTATTGCTTGCCCTCTCCTTTATTCAAATTGAAAATGTAAAGTATGTGCAATAGAGTCTCCCAATAGCCAGCAAATGTTGACTAGTTTAGGGTTTAATTTCTGTTCAATCTGCTTTGATATACATACATGCACATGCACATGCTCATGGGCTTATACACGGCGAAAAAAAGCGCCCTTCATTGAGAAAGTATCCCTAAAATCTATTAGACTTTCTAGTTTAGTTTATAAATATTTTGAATATTTTTGTTACACACATTTTCTTCTATGTTTGTTAGCCTAAGAAATAGTTGATACATATTTCCTAAGCTTGCCTTTGACCGCCCCCGCCCCCCACCCCCAAGTAAACTTATTCCGCTTTTCTAAATTGAAGGGCATTTTTTGCTCAGTGTTTATGCTGTATGGATATGATGGGTAACATTGGATGTTTCAACGATATGTGTGTGTGTGTGTGTTCCTGTTTTATTTTGGCTAAGCTTGACCGGGTTAAAGGTCAAATTCAGCTCTGCTTACCTACGTATCATTCTCATTCTTCGTTTGCTATACTTCCGTTTGTTTTCTCGTTCGTTTATTTCATGTATAGTATTTTATTTTAAGTCTAAAAATTTGATAAATTTTGGCTTAGAAATTGTTTGTTTTTTGTTTTGTTTTGTTTTGTTTTCATTCGCTTTTCTGTTTCTGCTTTACATACTTTATCTTTATTTTGGTTTTGTTTTTTTCTTTTCTTTTACTTGGAACTAACTACAGGCATTTAATGATTACATTTATAATTATATTTTATTTAATTTAAATTTTTTCCCATTTACTTTCTCATTTTCTTTTTCGTTTTTTTTTTTCGTTTTGTTTAAAATTGTATAGTTTCCGCTTGCTTCTTATTTCCTTTTTTTTTTTGTTTTTGTTATTTCTTCTATGCAACTCGCTGTTTAAAATGAACTTTTGAAGTTTTGTAGTTGTTTTTGTTATTTTTTTTTTTTGTTAATTGTTTGTTCGATACGTTTCGTTTTAATTGATAAGGATTTATGATCTGGTTGGTAGGATGGGAGGGACATGGTCCCACCACCGCCTTGCCATCGATAATAAGTAGCTTAAAATTTGCACTAATTGATATAATTTGCCATTCATTTCGTTTCGTTTCGTTTCGGGTTTTATCCAACGAGAGCTTTCCTCTTGCCATAAAATAATTAACGCTATAAATCACAATACGGTTTTGTTTTTTTTTTCCTTTCTTTTCTTTTCCTTTCCTTCCTTTTTTTGTTTCTTGTATATATGCACTATGTATATAGTTTAGATATATATATGTGGATATAGTATGTATGTATGTATATATATATATTGAAAAAAAAAAGATTACACACTCGCTTAGGTTCCTAGAGTTCTGCTATAGACATTAAAAATACGAATATGGATATGCTAATGGCCATCTAATGCGATATATGTATAGTGGGGGGTGTTGTGGGTGTAGGGGGGGTGTCTTGTCTAAGTAGTTTTTCATGTATATGTATGTATGTATGTATGTAAATCGGTAGCATCCAAGTGAGACTGACTGACTCCTGCTGCTGCTTCTGCTTCTGCTGCTGCTGCTGCTGCTGCTGCTGCCGCTTCTGCTGCTGCTGCTGCTCCTTTGCCTTTGCATTTGCTCCTTCTCCTCCTCCTCCTTAGACGTGGGTGGCCAATGGGCCCTTCTGGGTGTGGCCCTTGCCATTGTTGGACAGTATAAATTGTCCGGATGGACTCTGTGCACACTGCCCAGTGACGACGGCCGACTGAGCCAATGGTGTGGCAGCCAGCGTATTGCTGCTGGCCGTTAAATTCGAGCTGCTGCCGCTCACACTGCCCCCAGCGCCACCAGCGCCGGGGCCCCCACCCATGCCGCTGTTCAGGCTCGCCGCTGCCGAGCCACCGCCGGACAACAGCTGTCCGCCGCCGACGCCACCGCCACCGGCATTGGCCGGACTAGTATGTAGGGTGGCGCCAGCCAGGGAGGCGCCATGGCCATGGCCGTAGTGCTTGAGGCCGCCGTTCGCGTGGTGATGGTGGCGGGCAGCATGGTACGGCGGTGGGGCTGGCGTAGCCGCTGGATTTGCGGTGCTTGGCGGTGGCAGTGGGGGCAAGATCGAGGAGTTGGTGCGTAGATACGGATTGCCATAGATGGCGCTGAAGCGACTGTCGATGCCGTTCTGTAGAAGCGGTTGTCCTGCAAAAAAAGAGATCGGGTTAGATGCGGGGGCCAAAAGAGACAACTGGCTGCAATATATATATATCCATACCCATGAATCCATTGGCCTGCTGCGACTGCTGTTGATCGTGACGTTGATTGCGCGGTAGGCTGGCCCCAGCCCCAGCTGCACCTGCACCACCACCCACACCAACGGAGGCAGCCGTCGAGTGTGGCAGTGTGGCGGAGTTCTTGCCGCCGGAGTGCTTGCCGGATTTGCCACCAGCCGCAGCTGCAGCTGCATCGCCGGGTGGACTGTAGTCGAGGGCATATTCAAAGTAGTGGGCATATCCATTGGCGGTGGTCTCCTTGTAGGCGTTCTCCTGGTGGTTCTTCAGATTCTTGATGTGGCACTGGCGATTGTAGCGGTCGGTAAAGTCGCCCGAGAAGCGCTCATCGAACTTCACGGGACCGGCAAGTGGTACGCCCAGGGTGGCGCCCTTCATCTGCACATCGGGCATGGGCGATTGATTGAGGGTGATGGCCAGCGCCTCGCTGCCCGCTTCCGAGTACTCCACATCGTAGGCCTTGGATCGCAGTTCGCTCTTCAGTTCGTTCAGCTTGTCGCCGCCGCGTGATGCCTCCGGTATAACGTCCGCAGGCATGGGCTTCTTGCGGTTGCGCCGCTTCGTGTACACCACCACAATCATCACGATCATCAGTATGATGGCCACGGAGAAGACCGAGCCCATAACGACCAGCAGGACGGGTATATTGCCGGGCTCACGCACCACGGTGATCAGCAGGGAGTCGCTGCCATACGAATTCATCACCGTGCAGTTGTACTTGCCAAAGTGTGTTGCCCTGCTCTCGCGTATAATGAGGGCGGCCCGCACGCCCTCCGGCAGATGTTGCTCCTCGAAGATGTAGATGTCCGGATCGGCGCTGCTCATGTTGATCACCTTGTTCTCGAAGGACCACAGTATCTGCTCGGCCTTGGGTATGCTAAAGGCCAGGCACTCAATCTTCACCTTGTTGCCCACCGCCCCGAACTGCACCTTGTGCGAGGTGATGATCGGTGCCCGTTTCACGTGTATCAATGCCTCGGCGCCGATTTCCGGGAAGCCGGTGACCTCCGCCCTGCAAATATATCGTCCCGCCGTCTCGCTGCTCACCTTCATTTTCAGCTCCGTGCCGCGGCCCACAACCTAATGGGAAAAGCAATTAGGAATTTGGGATTTTATCATTGTTGTTGTTGTTGTTGTTGTTGTGTTCTCTGATCATACCTGTGCGGAATTCTCGTTAACCCATTCGATTTCTGGGGTCGGATTGCCGGCCACCTCGCAGCGCATGCTCACGGTGGCGCCCAGGTCGGCCTCCACGGTCTGTGGACGCTTACGGAACACGGGTCCAACTGCAATCAGACACAAATGGAGTCAAATGGAGTCAAATGGAGTCAGTGCTCTGCGCGTGCCAGCAAATACTTACAGCTTATGTCCAGGGTCTCGCTCTCCTCGCTCTTGCCGACGGCATTGACCACCTCGCACTTGACAATCGAATCGTGATACGAACGGGTTACATTGTGAATAATCTGTAACGGATGCGCTTGTTAAGGGAAGAGCGGCCAGGGGAGATTTCTTGAGTTTTGAGACTTACCAATTTGGTGGTGAAATCTCCGGTCATGAGTTCGTCGTTGATGAACCATCTGTAGGTGACCTCGGGTGGATTGGCATCCGCCTGACAGCTGAGAACGACCTCGGCTCCCTCGGGTATCTTGCCGCCAGCGGAGGCGCCCTCCACCACGGACACCGACACCTTTGGGGCGTACTTGACCTCCAGCAGCAGCTTGGCGGAGCGATAGTTGCGATCGGCGGTATTCTGCGCCTGGCACGTGAACGTCGTGTTGTGGTGCTCCTTTTTAGGTGCCAGCTTGAGGATGGACTTGGCGGTGATGCGACGCGAATCGGACAGCGGCTCCTTAACGTATTCGATGCCCTTGGTGAGGACATTGCCGAGGCCATCGATCCAGGTGATCTCGGCGGCTGGCTTCCCGCCCACCGATACGCATTCGAGTTCGATTTCGCGATCCTCTGTGGTCACCATGTAGTCGCCTTGCAGTATTTTCGGATCCTCCGGCTTCACCAGCACCGTGAGCTTTGCAAACCGCGAACGGATACCCTGTTCGCCCTGCGGACCGGGCCCCACCTGGCACTGGTACTTGGCATCATCGTCGAGCATCAGCGGAAAAATATCCAGCGAGAAGTCACCCTCCTCGTCACTGCCCACCATCGAGTAACGCTCAAAGCCGCTCAAATTGCGATGCTGTCCGAGGCCGAAATCATCCTTGGTCCACTGCAGGGCGCCAACCTTCGCCGTTACGCGGCAGGGCAGCGTCACACGGGAGCCCACCACAGCTGTCTGATCCTGGGGCTCCATGGCAAAGTGCTGGCCCCCGTTATCGCCGCTCCTCGGCTTGTTGTCATCGTTCGAGCCTGATCCGGAGGACGCTGATGGCGACGAGTCGCCGTGATGTGCATTGTTCTGGTTGTTTTTGTTTTTATTTTTGGACTTGGCCAGCACGGAGACGGGCAGCAGGGCCACCTCCAGCAGTAGCACGGCCAGGGGAAGCACCCGCAGCAGCTGACTTCTGCGCATTTTCTTCATTTTAGCCGCCGCAGAATGGCTAATACGGCTGCAAAGAGGGACATTAAATGGGGGAAATTAATTTCATTATTTTAATATTAATTTTATTATTTATTAATTTTAAATATTATTTTATTATTTATTAATTTTATTATTTATTAATTTTATTATTTATTAATTTTATTATTTATTAATTTTATTATTATATATAAATTTTATTATTATTAAGGCTTTATTTTTAAAATGCAATCTTTAACAATTTATGTTCCAAATCTGCATATGGGCGCCATCTTGCGTTGGTTTTAATGCCAGCCTGCCAGCGCCACCTGGCTGTAAGTCCAATTTAAATTTTACTTAGCCGGCATATCCGTCAGATGGCGCTAGCAAGGTTTCATCAGCTTGTCAAGTAGATGGCAGCAGCAGCTCGCTCTCTCTCTCTCTGGATCGGGCTAAATAAATAAATAGATTGAGGTGTGCCTCTGCCTGCGTTGCATTTCATTTATATTTGTATTGAATTTAATTCCGCGTATTCCTTTAATTGAATTACAGCACAGAGGCACAGCCCTCGCCCCCACTCAGTGCAATTCGAATTAAATCAACAGCGAAAACAAACTCTATAAAAAATAATTATTGTACAAACAAAACGGGGAAAAAGGTGCAACCAACACACCCATCCACCCACCACCCACCACCCACCATGCACCATGCACCATGCACCCACTCCGCGCCTGCCACGCTTGCTTGCCGCTGCTCACATGGGCAAACGAATGCAATCAAATTTGTTTTTGTGGGTCAAGTTTAAACCAAATGAATACGAAGTGTGGGGTACGTGTGTAAACAGCACCGAATGCGAATGATGTACATATATAATATTTTACGACTGACTGGTGGGGGATACCCATAACCATACCCACCATAGCCATACCCATACCCAATATTCTATCAAAGATAATTTCATTTATGCGATTCATTTAATTTTCAGTGCCTTTCTATAAATATTTGTACAAGTTTTTTTTCGCAATTGCAGCAGCAGAGATCTGCTTCATCTCCCTCCATGTGCACACCAGGGTCAGGGTCTCTCAGGGTCTCTCAGGGTCTCTCAGGGTCCCTATGCTCGATAAGTTTTTGCCTTATTTCGAGTTGCAATATTTTTGCATTAATTGTAAGAAATGTGTTGGAGTGTTTCCCAATACGATAGAGTCGATATACCCGACTGCTTAAAAGCACTGCTGAGCAGACAGAGAAAGAGGGCAGTATGGGGTGGGTGGGGGTGTCCTGCGTGGGTTGTCAGTTTTCTGAATTTGGTGGCATCAACTGCAGGAGGCAGCAGCCACATAAGCAAGCAGTGACGGCAGCAGGCAACAGGCAAGCAGCAGGCAAGCAGCAGACGGACGTCAGCAGCAGGGCGGCGGTGGGCATGGACGTCAGCTGCAGCTGCAACTGCTGGGCTGCCATAACCGTAACGGCACAAGTGTAACCGTAACTGTAAATGTAACTGTAAATGTAAGTGTGTGGTCGTTTTGCCGTGAAATTGAAACATATTCGCGCGCAGCTTTGCACGCGTATCTGCCTTCAGTGTATTTTCGTTTTTTCCGCTGCTTTTCCCGCTGCTTTTCCGCTTGCCACCCACTGTGAATGCAACACACAACACACACACCCACACACACAAACATATGTTCCTTTTATTGTGTGCTCTTCTTTTTGAACATTCTTTTTTTTCGCCTTTACTTTCATCCGCTTGTTCGTCCGGTTTTGGCCTTGGCATTTGCGGCTTTTGTTTGCCTTTGTTTGCTTTTTGTCTGTTTTATTTATTCTATTTCTTTTGCGTTCACAATTTTTGTTTGTACGCCACTAAGCACCCAAGGACCTTAAAGCTGCGTTAGACAGCTTGTAGGGATTCAAATGTCGCTTGGACTCACCAACATCAAAGATTATTATGTGTCAGAGGGGGATAGACAGACAGAGAGAGAGAGTGACCTTTAATGGGGACGTTCATTCATTAATAATTTAATGGCGAATATGGACTTCGTTTAGCTAACAAATAGCACTCGTTATAATTATGGATTTAAAGTTGTGTAATATTCGATGGGAGTTTGATTTTAGGTAGGACTTGATTTTACGCTTCCATGGAGTCCCAGCCCCCAAAAGAGAGACTCTGCCTAGGCAGAACCCAATGGCTTTATTCCCCATGCCCCATTTATTATCGGTTCTCGCTTTTTGATGGATTTAATTCTTATAAATTATGTACCAAAATAGCTGCTCAAGCTGGTTAAATTCATTTAGCACCTTGCTACTCTTTTCTCCACACTCTTTCGCGGTGGAGTACCGACCAAAGACGAGTACGTGTACGAGCAAGTCTGGATTCCCCCCCTCAAATAGTAGGTGCTGCCGCCTGAAGCATCCACACATCCACCCAAAAAGGTAATGCTAACGATTTCATCAAATTGGCGCCCATGGGCTATGGCGCTGGGCCAAAGGAAAGGCCAGGTGCAGTGGGAGAACACAGCAAACAAAACAAAAACAAAAACAAAAAGAGAGAGCACGAACGAAACGCGCTTGAAACGCCAACGAAACGCGCCAAAAGACAGCTCTGACCAGGTCATTTATATCCGTATATGTATATCCCCAGCATATCCCCCCAACATACGAGTATATCCCAAACATATCCTCATATCGCGGCGTATCGCTGTGGCTATCCCTTTCACTCCGCTGCAATCGCAACGCCCGGGCTATAGCTACGCTATGATTTTTTTTTTTTGTGGCCTTTTCATTTGGATACCCCGTGCAGCGAGTGGAGGAGGGCATGCCCACTGGCTGCAGTAGTAAGTTGTGATTTTATGCACATATCGCTCAGTTAAGTATGGAAACAATTAATGTGGAATTAACACTGAAAGAATCATCGATGCTGAGGGGCCGTTTTTCTTCTCTGAAGATTTCTTCCAAAATCTTTATTGAATTATGTCGAATGTATTTTGTGTACATGGGGTTCCCCGCATCAAATCCGAATATTATCCAGCCCATATATTGGCTTGGGGGGCGAGCGTATTTGATGCGTCGACCCCTTCTCCCCAGCGTTGGCAGTTCCTTTTCTTGTTTTCTTTCTGGTTTCTGTTCAGTTCTCTGTTGCTTGTTTACCAGCGCCATGATTTACGGCATTTGCACTTTGACTGTGACTGTGTTCCTCTGTCCGTGTCCGTGTCCGAGTCGGAGTCCGGGTACGGGTACGGCTCCGTCTGTCCGTCTGTCCGTTGTGTGTTGGTGCGCGGACTGGAGTCCGGCTGTGGCTCTGGCTCTGGCTCTCAGAAGTGCCCTCATATATAGAGCCGGAAATGCCCGGCGTGCGTATGTGCCAGGTGATATGGATAGACGCGGCAGAGGGGCGGTGCCGAGCAGGGTAGGGTCTGGAAAAACTTTGGATAGTGCTCGGATACGGATACGGATACTGAGCCGGTGCCGGTGCTGGTGCCGGAGTTCCCTGTTCTTTTTGCTGCCAGCAATATGCTTGCCTAAATTATTAAAATTTATAATAAAATTTTTATGACCATAAAAGGCCAGCGCCACCAGAAAAGCCTCTTGCCAAGGCACTCACTCAGCACTCAGCTCCCCCCCCCCTCCTTCTGCTTGGCCTTGTCCTGGTCCTGGTGCTGGTGCTGGTGGCTTGGCTTGGCGTTGTGTCCATTTTAGTCCTTGGGCCGAAAGTTGTACAGGAAATGACTGGACATGATTTTTCGTGCACACATAACTTTTGTTTTTAGTTGCGGTAGATTTTCGTTGGATAGTAGTAAAAACCACTTCCCCGATAGTCTCCTGGCCTACCTCCCCCCCTACCGCTCTCCCTGTGCCTGTCCCAGCCGGGGGACTTCCCTTTGAGTTTATGTTGCGTGCTTGGGGCCTGGAGACTGAGGCAGAATGGAAGAAGAAGGTGGGATGGCTTTTGGGTGTACGGTAAAGTTGTCCTTTATGTTGTACTTGCAGGCGAGAGACATTAAAATTACTTAAGGTCTTCCCCCCGCCCCCCAGTCACAGTCTCAGTCTCTGTCACTTGACTTTTTTTTGTTCTTTTTTTTTTTGTTCTTTTTTTTCCTTTTTTTTTTTTTTGTTTGTTGGGCTTTAAGATGGAGTGTCGGAAGGAGTTTTTCAAAAGTTCTAGGCATATTAAGAAGAAATCTGGTATTGTGCTTATTTTTTCGAGCCATGACACGAAAGACTGACTACTGCACTCCTCTGTGGGATTTTCTCGTCCAAATGTGCTTGATGTTTTGTGTGTAGGAATGAATAAAATAAAGCAACTTTTTGGCATAGAATGCGACTCATGGCCAACGGAAAATGTGCCTAAGTTTAGTTGCAAATATGCTGGCATATATTATATTATTTTTCCCTGTTGCTCGGCAGGTGGCAGGGAACACATTTCGACTGTACAATTCTCAGGCTCAAATACAAAAATATTCTCCTGTCCGAACAGATTGCCAAAGAGCTAGGAAATTGGCTTTAACATATTCTACTCTTTTTTTTTCGTTTTTTTTTATCATTTTTTAGTTGGTGAAAAGAGACTTTCGCCAGACAATTTCATTTTTCAACAATTTTAAAATATTTATATAAAATTTTCAACATCTACTTTGGATGGGAACTTTTATTTTAATTTTTATTTTTTTTAAATTTATTTTTATATTTATATTTATTTTATTTTTTATTATTTTATTTTTTATTTTTATTTTTTTTTTATTTTTAATTTTTTTAAATTTATTTTTTTATTTATTATATTTTTGTATTTATCTTTATTTTATTTCTTTTTTTTTTTTTATTTATTTTAATTTTTATTTATTTTTATTTTATTTAGTTTTATTTTTTTTATTTTAGTTTTTTTTTTAATTTATTTTTTTTTTATTTTAATCTATGTGTAGCATTTTAGTTATCTAAGACAGAAAGTACAGAAACACTTGTGGCAAAGGATCTCCTCTGTATGTGGCAGTCATTCACAGCGATTGAGTCTGTTTGTTTATGGAACATTTGTTTATCGTTCGCATCTTTTGCTAGTGGATTCGGGTTGCA